CGCGCGCCTGCGGCCGCTGCCGCCCGAATGTGTGGGCAGCGCGAGCCGCAGCGACCCCGACGCGCGGCGGCGCTGGGAGGACGAAGGTAGGCGCGCGCCGTCTGGAAGTGGGTCGTGTTCCCCAAAGCTGGGGTTGACCCCAAGCTGGGGAGTGGGGGGCGAGGAAGGGACGGAGGCTTGGTTTGTAAAAGTTTGCTTGACTGCGTTGCTTTGTGAAGTCGCCTCCCAAGCATCCACAAGTGCCAGCCCGCGAGTGTGTGTGGCGCCTCCAAACGCAGCCACCCGGGCCACGTTCTCCTGGGGAGCTATGGGCGTGCACACCTAGGTGGCAGCTTCGGCCCCCAGGAATCTCGACGGCACACACGCGTCCTTTCATACCGCGCGGGCGCACTGCGTTCCTGGCCTCTTTGCCTGGTGGTAAGGCAGGTGCTCCAGGTGCTCATGGAGGGGAGCCTAGCCAGGGGCCGCCATCCAGGCCCTTCCCAGACCTGCCAGTGTGCCCTCTGAAGGTCCAGGTGGGGAACCATCCCGGAAGGACGGCCTCAGCACCTCCTGAAGGGTCAGGGAGAGGTCAGGTTGGGGCGGGCCCTGGCCCGGATAAGATCAGAATGTTGGGAGCTGGTCTTTAACTAGAAATCAACCCCAGGCGCAGATGCTGTAAAGAGAAGGCGTGGCCTCCCCTCATGGTGTCCCTGTTCCTAGGTTTCCGCCAGATCGCCCAGAACAAGGTGGCCGTCCTTCTGCTGGCGGGTGGGCAGGGCACGCGCCTGGGTGTGACCTACCCCAAGGGGATGTATTGTGTGGGGCTGCCCAGCCAGAAGACCCTGTACCAGCTGCAGGCTGAGCGGATTCGGCGTGTGGAGCAGCTGGCCAGCAAGCGCCACGGGACCCGCTGCACGGTGCCTTGGTGCGCCCTACCTGTGCTGCCTCAGCCCACGCCCCATGGAGCCCCAGCCCTGCCCCACACCACGATCTGAGTCCCGATCTCACACACAGCTCTGGACAGAGCCTCACGCTCACCAAGACTTAGTCCCAGCCCTGACCGCCCTGCACAGGGACTGTACCCCAATGCCAGCCTCACCCCAGCCCTATTTGCCTGCGGGACTCCCAGCCTGACTCAGTGGCTCAGCCTTCACCCACCCACAGGTACATCATGACAAGCGAGTTCACTCTGGGGCCCACGGCCGAGTTCTTCAAGAAGCACAACTTCTTCCACCTGGACCCCGCCAACGTGGTCATGTTTGAGCAGCGCATGCTGCCTGCAGTGACCTTCGACGGCCAGGCCATCCTGGAGCGGAAAGACAAGGTCGCCATGGCCCCAGGTACAGCCCAGGGACAGGGGAGGACCAGCAGTCTAGAAGGTGGAGCTCATGCTGGGGGGTCTGGAGGCCTGGGCCCAAGACCTGTGCGTGCTCTGGGAGGCTGTGTGGCCTTGGGGGGTCGTGTCCTCTCTGGGCCTTAATTCCCCGTGGTGAGTTGACAGCTCCAGGGCTGTGTGGCAACCGTGTGCTGCTTCTCTCGTTTCTGGAGCCACAGCTGCCAGGCCCCACTTCTTCCCCCTCTGCAGATGGCAACGGGGGCCTGTACTGTGCCCTTTCGGACCACCAGGTCCTGGAGGACATGGCGTGCCGTGGCGTGGAGTTTGTGCACGTGTACTGCGTGGACAACATCCTAGTGCGGCTTGCTGATCCCCTCTTCATTGGCTTCTGTGTGCTGCAGGGTGCGGACTGCGGTGCCAAGGCGAGTTGCACCCCCATGCCCCCCCAGCCTCAGCCCCGGCCAGCCCTTTGAGCCCACCATCCCGTCCTGGCTGCAGGTGGTGGAAAAGGCATACCCCGAGGAGCCCGTGGGCGTGGTGTGCCAGGTGGACGGCATGCCGCAGGTGGTGGAGTACAGCGAGATCAGCCCAGAGACAGCGCAGCTGCGGGCGCCTGACGGGAGTCTGCTCTACGGCGCGGGCAACATCTGCAACCATTTCTTCACCCGAGACTTCCTCCACGCTGTCATCCAGTGAGTGGCCCAGGGGGCCGGCAGTGTGGCCAGCGCTGGCCAGGGCTGCTGGTGGGGCCAGACCCGGCTAAGTGCCCGGGCCAGGTAGACACAGGGCCACTGACTGGAAGTGGCCTGTCCCAGGCAGGCAGGTGTTGGGGGAGCGGGCTGGTGGGTCAGCTGTAGAAGGATTCCTGTACTTGACAAGCCAGAGACTCTGGAGAACCACCGTGAGCTGGGCTTCCTCGCTCTGGCTTGGGCCCCGCTGCCCACAGGCACCGCGTCCACCCCCGTGCCTTGCCTGTTTGTGTGGGCGCTCTGGGTCTGGGGTGAGGGAAGGAGGCGTGGCCTGTCCTGCTGCCCACTCCCGAGACCTGTGGGCCGTAGTTTCCCCACCCCACTGGGCGCACTCTGAGAGGTGAGTCATCCTGAGCATGTCCCATCTGAGCTGCATCTTTTTCTCCCCATGTCCCTCCGTCCTCTGCCCTCCCCGGCACCCAGGGAATTTGAGCCCTTGCTGAAGCCGCACGTGGCTATCAAGAAGGTTCCTTACATGGACGAGGAGGGGAACCTGGTGAAGCCATTGAAACCCAACGGGGTCAAAATGGAGAAGTTTGTGTTTGATGTGTTCCCGTTTGCTAAGTTAGTGGCAGAAGCATTTGTTTCTTTTTCTTCCCCTGCCTGCTTTGGGGTGGGCTCTCAAGCTCTGTGAGGCAGGTTGGGGGCTGGTGCCATGGAAGGGCCCCTTTCCTGGAGGGAGCCAGAGAACACTATTGCCCCTAAGAGGAAGCAGCCCTCCAGGGTGGGGGCATGGGGAACACCTGGGGCCGTTGAGGTCTTTGGACTTTGGGGGCCCCCAGTGCCGCCTCCTGCTTCCTCCATCTGCCCGTCACCCAGAGGTAGGAGGTGGTCTCCAAGCCAGGTTGCTCCCAGGGTACTGGATCCTCCCTCTAGGGCTCCAGGACCAGGGTGTTGGGCTGGAAGGGAGCACCCTGCCTTCATGGTGACTGCCCCCGCCCGCCCCCAGGTCTCAGGAGCAAGGAGGCCACTTTGAAGGACCGATGCCCTGCCCTGCCCCGCCCCTCCGAGCTCTCAGTCTCTGCGCAGCACCTCTGTAGACACCGTAATTCCCTCTCCCCCACAGGAATTTCGTTGCCTTTGAAGTGCTGCGGGAGGAGGAGTTTTCCCCGCTGAAGAACGCGGACCCTGCTGACAGGGACAGCCCCTCCACCGCCCGGCGGGCCCTGCTGGCGCAGCACTACCGCTGGGCACTGCAGGCGGGTGCCCGCTTCCTGGACACCCATGGGGCCTTGCTCCCCACGTCGCCTGGGTAAGTCCCTCGGGTACGGCCATGGGGGTCAGGGCCCACCCCCCAACCCAGGGCTCTGCCGGCTCTGCCGCCGGCCTAGCTGGGGAGTAGGCTTCTGCTGTGGCCCCAGTCAGCACAGCCTCTCAGGCTGAATCCTTGGGGTCTGTGCAGGGCGCCAGGGAAGGCGGGGGCTAAGCCCTCACTCCCTCGTTCACGAGCCTGGAAACCGAGAGCAGGGCATGACTTTCAGAAGACAGTGGGCAGTCTGCTCTTCAGGGCGAGTGGAGGAGAGGACATTACTTCTTCGTCTCTGCGTGTCTGGGGCCACCGTGTATACCGCGGTGCCTTGGCTCTGCGAAGGACGCTTTAGGGGTGTTTTCTGGCCCAACTCAGGGACTGTCACTTAGACTGGAGGCAGGCTGGCTCTGGGCTCTGCAGCCAGAGGAGGAAAGAGGCTGGGAGGTGGGATCTGCTGCTCAGCCCCTGGCAGGGCTCTGTGGAGGGGTGGGGAGAACCCTGTGGCCAGACCTGTGAGTGAGTGCTCAGCTCCAGGCAGGGCTGTGTGGAGGGGGGTGGGGAGAACCCTGTGGCCAGAC